CTTCTTCTTCTTCTTCTTCTTCTTCTTCTTCTTCTTTTAGTTTAATGGCGGATTGCAATAATAACTTGTCAGGTGCATACCGCCACCTACTGTACCAGAGTATGCAGCATGGATTATTATATAGCTTTACGTAATCTTAAAGGGGTCATATGATGCGATTTCAATTTTTCCTTTCTCTTTACACGTAAAACAACAGTATTTAAGGGGCCGTTCACATATAGCGTCTTTTGCGCGCTCAAGTTCGTTATTTCAAATGTAGACGCGCGGCAGGCACGGTTATAATGGAAGCGACGCGGTCGCAACGCGCTCATTTTTTCCAGGCGCGTCCGCGATGCATCGAGATAAAAACATTTCAACTTTTCAGAATGCCGCAAGCGCACCGCGGGTCATGTGAGAAGAGCCAACCAATCAGCTTCATCCTTTTCTGTAACAACATTGAAAGCTCAGCCAAGATGAAGAAACAGCTGATCATAGCTGTACAGGGATAGCCATTTTTAAATAAATTTAGTAGCAGAGCTACTGCAAGCGATTTTTAGTGCTGCAAATCCATTTATTTAGTAGGAGAGCTACTGCAAGTGATTTTTAGTGCTGCAAATCCATTTATCCTTTGCTGAAACTTCCGCGTCTTCATGGAGAGCACAGGTCATGGTTGCTTAGCAACGGCAGACGCCTCCGGAGCGCAAGCGCCTAGCATTTTCAACGCGTTTTTAGTGAACAGCCCCTAAATCATTATAATCCATAATTATGTCCCCACTGGATGCAACAAATGCCTCGTTTATAATGGGTTTTCATGTTTTTGTCTCGTAGCTCCGGCCTGACAGGGCATCATCACAGTATGGTAAGGGGCGTAACATTTCCGTCACACACTTGAGGTATTCGGCCAATCACAACGCACTGGAAAGCTGGCCAATCAAAGCACACCTCGCTTTTCAGACCGATGAGCTTTGTAAAAATCGACGCGTTTCAGAAAGGCGGGGCATAGAGGAGAAACAATAATGTACAGTATGTGGAAAATAATGTGTTTTTTGAACCTTAAACCGCATAAACACATTTCAATACACCAAATACACAAAATAATGTTCTTTTTAGCAACATCATATGACCCCTTTAAAAGGAAAACGCACTAGTGTAAACGTAATCTAAAAGAGACGAGCATTTCAGTACGAGTACTACACAAAACCGCGCGTCTGCGCCATTCATTGACACAGAGACACGCAGAATTAATATTTAAATATGAATCGTTTTGCGGCTTAATATTTACAAATATTAGTGGGAGTGGGCTCACTTGTGTGTGTATCGCCCCCCTAATATAATGGCAGGGGAAACACTAATAATAATAATAATTTTGTGTATTTTTTATCTTTTCATTTCAAATTAAATAATTGCTTACCAGATTCCTGCTGGGACTTTGGAAAATCTCAGTAAGTAAGTAATTAAATATTTTGAACGTTAAAAGAGTAAATAATTAATCGCATTTGTTTGTTTGCTTAGAGTGAACGCCCATGCGCTTCTATGGAAATCCAGTATACTTAGTTAAAATTGTTTCAATTTCGTTGTCGATGAAGGTGTACATGCACTCTACTGCAAAGTTTAATAACTTGTCTGCAACAGTGAATGTCTGCAGCTGGACACTATTGGTTATACCATTGAATTTTTTATGAACTTTTATTATGACAAACACACAGTTTTGACCTTTCGCAGCGCTTCCGGTCTGTCTCACCGTGTCTCGCTTCACAGTATTGTGGGCTTTTATCAGTGTGAATTCAGACTCCAGGTTTGTCAGACGTTCATCTTTAAATGATGTTATTTGAACAGTTCCGTTTCTAAATTTGACATAAAATGATGTATGAATGGTAGGGCTGATTCCGTTTCGTTGGAAAGTTTTCACTTGTAGCTGATTCGCATTGATAATCAAGCGGCTATCAGTAGCGCTAACTAGCCTCAAGCTACATTGTTGTGAAATGAATCGCTGCTTTATTTAGTTTCAAACGTCCTTTGCCAGAAACGGAAATAATTCGATTTTTGAGTCGTGTTGAAGAGGAAAAGGAAACAGTATTTCCGCGCAGAGTCAGATTTGAGGAAACTCCTCTGCTGTGTGCGGTTAAATCAAACACCACAGTAATACCATGAGTTCAAGATACACTAAAGTCATGTGTTTTTTTTTTTTTAAGTACCGTCTAAACACCATGGTAGCTGAAAATAGTCGTTTTAGTATATCTCAAAGTCCAGACGCCTTCACTGTATCACCACAGAAGTGGTTTTTGTTTACATATATCACAAACCTTATATCATGTACGTTACTACGAGTTCTTCTTTCTGAATGTAAATAGTCTTACACTCAAAGAACTTACCAGTCAAGAGATAAAAACAGTAACTTTACATTACTATGTGTTTATTTCTGTTGTTTTGTGATTTAGAGCTCCTGCTGTTTCTATGATCCCTGGGTCCCTTCACAGCATCAATGGCTGATAATGTGGAAAATGCTGTCAATAATGTGGTATGTATTGTGATTATGTGGTTCTGTTTTATACGCAGTGATGTAGTCCTCTTAATATACATAAGTGACATTTTATATGGTCGATTATTTCTTTTTAAAGGTCCCATATTGTACACCTTTCTGGAGTTTTATTTGAGGTTTTGATGTCCTTAAGAATATATATTTGCGGTATAAGTACCAAAAACCATCTCAATATATTTTTACAGCTCCTCTCTCAGGAGCTCTGCTGAGAACAGGTCGATTTTGGCCTGTCTAATTAATATTCATGAGCCTCTCTTCTGATTGGCCTGTTGTGTTCTGAGTGACACACGGCCAGGCCAGCCACAGGTAACTAGGGTCAGCGACGTCACAGCGCTTGCTGGAGGCAGCAAAACAAAGGGGAAACTGGAGGCGGCCCATTCAAACCAGCGCAGATTCTGCAGATTCGGCTACATAAGGAGCTTAAAATATCATCTTATTGTGATGTTGGGTGCCAGAATCGACGTAATACATATGGGCGCGTGTACATATTTCTTGCCATATGTCTATGTTTCTTGCATCTCACGTCTATGTCGTGTATGAAATAATGTCTGTGTGCATGTGTGTAAAACAACAAACTGACGATTTATATATAATCATTTGTAATTGTATATACATTGTTGTGATTAATTGTGGCTGGAACAATAATGTAGCTGTAAAAATAGTTGCCTGCTGAAATTGAAATGTATATACATCTTCATCATGACTAGATAGACACGGTGAGTTTGTCTTTACTATACACGTTAGATGTGATCCACCTCATAGTAACAATCCTGTCAGATCGTCCATCCTTTGAGTGAGAGTGTAAAGTTACAGGTCAGCCGATCTGGTTTCATGTTTAAAGTTAACCTTTTCGACATGTTTCCGTGTTGTCCTTGCTCAGCAAAAGCATGGATGTGATGTTGTCTGGGGGTTTGGCAAAAGGAGAGTGGGACTGTGGGCGGTGCTCGGGGTGGTGACTGAAGGCGGTGACTGTGTAGTTCTGACGTCAACTTTTTACGGAAGTCACAACGGTTCGTGAAAAATAGCTAGAACTTTAAGCAGGCTGTGTGCATTTTACTGTGGACTGACTGTTTTGAAACTTATATGGTAGTTAAATAGCCCCTAGACCTCAGTTATCGTGAAAAAAGCCAGGAAATTTCAGTTTTGACAATATGGGACCTTTAATAGTTACTTGGTGAATTTTGATCTTCTTTTTCCTTTGTGATGAAGTGTTATTTCTAGTGCTCGGGCAGTAGTGAGGATGGTGGTTGTGTAAGAGCGAGGCAGGCCCGCACCCATGAGAGGTATTTATCAGTGTTTGTAGCTGCAGGCTTATCTCAAGCGTTCTGTCAGCGATCACACCTGGAAAGCTCTGGCACTCGCTCACTGCTTTCATTTCCTCGTCACATGGATGATGGGACGGTGCAGTACTTTGACACTTGGG